GTTTTTCCTGTGAAAAAAATGTTTCATACGGTTTTTGCAAGCTTCTAAAGTATAAAAGTTTTTATCACAAAGGGAATTCTGCAGAGAACGAAACAAATGGTAGTCTGACGGAGAAAGATTGGGTGAGTATGGGGGTGGAGTAAAACATCCCAGCCTAGTTCCAATAATTTTTGCTGTGTTCATAAGGATGTATGTGGTCTGTTATTATCTTGATGAAACACAATGCCGTTTCTATTGGCCAGTTCCAGCCATTTTTCTTTAATTACCATGTTCAGTTTATCCAGTTGGAAACAATAGTTATCATAAGGTGACCAACTATTTTACAATGAAAAGGTGGACACAAATAAATTGAAGGAAAAAATATCATAAAAAAAGAAACATTTTATTCATTGCAACAATAATACACTATAATAATATCTACTGCATGTGTATGTGCCATATAATATTTCAGTAAGAAGTAAACAAAGCTACTTCCATTGGCACACTCTCTCAAAGTCTTTTGTGCGGAGCGCATGCGTCTCATAATCACATCTTGCCGCACTGTACCAAGCCTTGATGAATCATCACATTAAATATAAACATATCACATACAATGGATTGGCTTGGTATCAATTGAATATGGAGATTTACAGATTAGTCTTCAAATATTGAAAAGGAGGACACTTTTCGAGGGATGACAAAACTTAAAAAAGGACTATCCTCCCTAAAGCAGGATGATTGGTCACCTTAGTTATCAGAATCAATTGTTTGATTCTGTGGAAGTAGCTCATAGTACAGGATTCCTTTCCAATCCCACCAGACAGTGAGCATGACCTTCTTTGGATGAAAACTGCCTTTGGAATTTTTAACAATGGTTCATTTTTCTTACCCCATGATCATTTTCAGTTGACGTTATAAACAATCCACTTTTCATCACCTGTCACTAAACGCTTTAGAAAAGGGTCATTTTCATTCCATTTTTCAAGAGAATCACAAATGGAGATGCATTCCAGTAAGTTCTTTTCCATTAAGTCGTGAGGTGTCCAAATGTCATAACAATTCACGTATCCGAGCTTCTTTAGATGTTAAAATACAGTACTATTTGATGACTTCACTATGTCTGCAATCTCTTCACTATGTAACAAGAATTTTTATCCAATAATGTTTTTGATCCTCTTCAATAATGGGAGATCTTCCTGAGCAGGGAGCATCTTCAAGGCTGAAATTACCCACTTTAAATTTAGCAAACCACTTTCAAACAATTGATTCTGCTACAAGCACTCACAGCATAAACATCTCATATTTCTTTTGCTGTTTGTACAGCATTTTTGTGTTTATGATAGAAGAAAAGAAACAAGTGTTGAAAATGCATTTGTTTGCATCCATTTTCACAACAAGACAAATTAAAAACTATTTGAATAATCTCAACATTTTTTGTAACAGACACGTCTCAAGGTCATTTTTCATAATATTCATTGGCTTACACAATTCTAATAATTTTTGCATCAATCAGTGTCTCAACTGTCAGCTATCAAAATTCACTACGAACTTTCCAAACAACCCAACATAAAAAAAAAAGTCAAAAAAGACTACAGAAAAACACATACTATTTTTAGTACATATATTTAAAAGTTATTTTCAATTGATTTTACAAATTCATAGTTTTTAAAAATATTGCCAGTATTAAAACTAAAACATATCTCAAAAAGTACACTATTCAATAGCAATCCTTATTTTCATTTTTGATTCTAAACAGTGTTCCAACTAATAATAATAATTTTCATTATTTATAATTATTATTTCATTAAAAACTAGAAATTTTCACTATTCTAATTAGTATGCAATACTACATATTTCGATTGGCCTAGATTAATTTGTTACAATTAAAATTAATTCAAAATCATTTATTATTAACCGGAAAAAGTTTTAACCAGTAAAAATTAAAGAGTTTGGATTAACACATATCCAGATTAGTGAGAATGCATTAGTTTTGTTTAAGATTTGTATTGAAATTAAAATGTTGCATAACAAACAAAAATTTTAAATATGTCAGGGCTATTTTTCAGCTGTAATACACCAATATGCCACAATGGAAGACAGCATAAAATGCATCAATAGAATAGTACAATAGAGCATCGTTTATCCGAAGGAATTCCAGTTGACAAATTTAAATTTTTGCCAGTGCTATGGCGCTGTAATCTTTGGCTATGTCTTCGGCTACTCAAATATTTTACGTTTTTGATACTAAATTAACTTCTGAAGTATAATTTTTTATTGTTTTTATATTTTTCAATATATTTATTTTGTTTGTACAAAATAAAAAAATAATTTTTAACGATACAATAGTCTTCGTTAGCTTAACATCGACGAAAATTCAACGCGAAGCAACACGCAATGGAGAAAAATTTCAACATGGGATAAATTAATATATTTTTTCGTACATAATTGGTTATCTGAACAACCCCAGTCCCCAACTGATTCGGATAAACGACGCTCTACTGTATGTAGTATCAGCAGTTGCATAGTAAGAAAAATTCTATATTCAGGCAAGAATGCTGATAACTAGCATGATAAAAACAAACAGGACAATTTATTTGCCACAACAAATGCTGTAGGCCAATTGGAACTGCCATAAAAAATAAATGAGATGAAAAACCCCTTTTCATCAGAGGCCATTTTTTTTATGAAATCACAATGCTGTATGTCCCTGTTACATTTTTCTTAAGAAACAAGGTATGAAGTGATAATGATAATATTTTGTAAGGGAACAGTAAAAACATGGCTACTAAAAGGGCACCATTTAGCAACTGATATTAAATCCAAAACAATAGGAAAGAAAGTGAAAAAGGAGAAATACAAAAAATACGGAAAACAGTATAAATGCTAAAATAAATAATTAGTAGTATTAAACAGTATTTTTAGTGTTAATTTTTTCCCTAAAACAAAACTACTTTTCAATTAAAATTTCTTCCAAAACTTCAGATATTCGTTTTTGAATTGCCTGAAGACGACGTGCATATTTACGTCGAAAGCGCTCGCAAGAATAAAATATTTTAATTATATTTAATGCCTCATAGTCTGAAGTTTTGGAAGAAGTTTTAATTGAGATAACTATTGGCGTGACATCCAACCCCAGTACTTAATACTCCTAACAAAACTACTTTTAGTCACAGTGTATGCATATTGGCAGTAATTTTTTTAAAAAAGAGCACTAAGTTTTATTGTTTATTATACATTATTTCCAAAATCACATTTTAACTTTAAAATTTTGACAAAATGTTAAAATTTTAAACTTAAAATGTAATCAATACACCACCAGACTAAGTTAGTGTATCGCATTTCAAGTTTATTGTTGCATAGTGGTAGTCTTTAACATGATCTAAAGATATTTGTTACAACATATATGATACCTATATCTATTATATATTGAATAATACTATACAATAAAAGATTATAAACTGTAAATATGAATTTTATAAAACATTATCTCTAAATTCACTGTAAATGACTAATATTTCTCTAATATATATTATAACAATCCTGATCAGATATAAAATCTAACCTATTTCATTTGGATTTACTACAGGATTCCAGATATCTTTTCAGATAGTATATTAAAATTATTTAACATTTTTTGAAACATGCTTTTAGAATTAATATAAATTATAGTGGTTCTCAAAGTTATTTGTTACACAGACCACTTAAACCAAGTCAAAGGTGAACCATGGACCACCTCTGCCCCACATTCACTTCCTATCCTTATAAACAGTGTCTTAATGTATGCCATATTTTGAAACCTAATGTAAGACATACATGATACAAAAAATGTTCTTTCCTCTAACTAAACAACATAGAATTGCATTCTGTAAAATGACTAGGTTAGTCTGAAAACCACCTGCTGCATGCTATCAGACCATCACTTGGTTCATATTTTGAGAACCATCGGTATACATTATAAAAATGAGATTTACAGTAAAATCCGTCCAAAACAGAACCTTAATAAAATATAAACCTGCCCAAATGAGAGAAAAATCTTAGTAATACAGTGATTTTCTGTGTTTAAAAAAAAAAAAGAAACTGTTTAAAACGGAAACCTGCCAAACCAGAAAAATTATTCATTACCATAACACCAGTTTACACAGGTTTCACTATACATTACAATAATAAAATTTGATACATATCGTTTTGTAATAAAATTAAATATGCAAAATGAAATATTTTATTCTCACTATAAAATATACATATACTGTACTTTTAAAATGATAAATAATAAAATTCAAGTATTTCCACTAGATGGCACTAAAGATAAACAAGAATTATCAGGTGACCATTTAAATAACGGAGGAATTTTGAAGTAGAAAGGTCGAATTATTATTATTATTTTTCTCTTTTCCGATGAAGATAGATGGAAATATTTAATCTTGTTTATAATAAGACTTAAAAACTATCCTAATCAACAACGAAGACGTATAAATAACATATTAGATGCAGAGAAGAATTTCGTTATTTTCCTATAGATAAAATAGCAATATGTTAAAAGCTATATTTAGCACATCATTCTGATAAAATTTCTTCTTAAATATAAAATTTAGTGAAAATAAGCCAATTAGAAATGGAAAAGATTTTTTTTAGCCATTGAGATAAAGAATTAAAAGGAAAAGGAAGAAAGAGTTCAATTAAAACAAAAACGGTAAAACGTCCTTGAAGACCTCATTCCTAGTATATTTCCGAAATTAGATCGCGATTGAAAAAACATTGCGAAATTTAACATTAATTTCGATCGATACATAATTATATGCAAGCAAAATACAAATTATTTATAGGAATTAAAACTTTTTTCGACTCTTTAATACTTTTAAGTATTATTATTTAAAATCTCAGTCGTCGATTTAAGCCTAACTTTAGGGTTAAGCAACTTAAAAGAACATATCATGTTAAACATTAACCAGTTAGGATTAAGAGAGAACCATCAGGGTTCGGGGGTCGAATGTTATTATCTTGTTTCGTCCATGTCTACTTACCACTTACGTATTTCTCGTCGTCACCGAGTTTGAAGCAATCCGAGTGGATAAATTGATAGAAACGTAGTAGCCACGTCAAACTTACCAGACGAAGTCGTCACCGAAACGTCACCTCACCACTTGTCGACATCCATTATGTATCACAACGCGTTAAAATCCGATATTAAATATATATATTGATCCATAATAAAGCGTTTAATAATTATTATTTAATGGTGTAAAATAAAATGCATTCGATTTATTCGAATTTTTGTTTTATTTATTAATTAATAATGAAGAACTATGTTATGAAGTGGCAGGATATTCATGTAATTGTGTCGACTTACGTGTACAGAGCTGACGTCATGCAGTATGATTGCGTCTTTTCTTTCTGTTTCGGATCTCCTTCGTTTCCTTTATTCTGATTTGTTTTCTCGTAGCTTACGCAACATTTTTTAACTTCTTCCTTCCTTCTTTAATGCATTTAATTACGGGAAAAAATATTTTTAACAAATCAGTTCAAAAATTTACTTATTTCGTTTATTTCGATCTTATCACTTCTTATCTGAACAAGTTGGGGACAATTTATTTTAAAAAATGACAACGTTCTTAATATCTTTAAAGTTATTAAAACATGTTTAATTAATTTAAAATTTGCCAAAAATTGCTAATTGGCGTCGTTTTGATTATATAATCAATTTTTATGCGTAAAATGTCTTCGAAATTTGTTAAATAAATAGATTCAAGGGCATTGTAAGTTAGTAACTAAGCTACAGTACTTCTACTTGAGAATGATTCTTCACTAGGCGGTGCAAATAGAAGATTTTGGGAATTTAACCCCTCCTATTTCGGAAGAATAGAAACATAAATAAAAAAGTAACATATTTATTTTGTATCCGTTAAGTTTCTTCTTAGTCTACTGCAGTGGTTCCCAAACTTTTTTGATTCTCGGCACCCCAAGGGCGCCGAAAATCAAAAAAGTTGGTTCCACAGTGCATCAGGGTCTTTGCTTCGAAAAAGTGCTTGCAATCCTCCATAACATCCAAACATAGAACGAACACCATCAGTAAAGATACCAATGCATTTGGTCCACTCCAAATTATTTTCGGAAATAAAAACATCAAGGATCTCGAACAAGTCGTGAGCTTAGCACCAGCAGTGATACTTTTACAGAAGAGAAAGTCTTCTACAATGTTATTATTATCTATAAACTGTATATAGCAAATCAAGTGAGCATCATTATTATTATCTATGTCATCATCCAGCTGCGACCCAAATTCCTTCCCTTCTATTTTTTCAATAACTGAACATTGGAGGTTCTTCGCTATGTGCTGTATTCTGCGACTGATAGTGTTATTGCACAAAAGCACTTTTGAAAGCTGCTACCCAGCAGACCCACCGATAATAATGTTCACCATATCTACAGGAGCCGGTAGAATGAGTTTTTCTGCAATGATATGAGGCTTTTTACATTTTGCGATTCTGTGCACCACCTTTATTACTGAGTCATTAAATCAGGTCTGCGACATCTAACAGACCTGATTTGCATTAGGTCTGCTAGCTGTCACATCTTGTCACATCGAATTGAAAGGGGAAGTAAAATTATGAAAATTTTATATTATTTCGTGGTGTCTGTGAGGAAGCCGCGGCTTCCTAAGACGCCGCTGTACACACTTTGTTTTGTTTACTTATGGCAACGCAACACTTGGGAGATCTGCCTAGGTGGGAATGCCTTCCGGGAGGTCTTTTTAAAGGAAACTGGGCTCTATTTGAGCGTTACAGATGAGGAGAAAACCCGGAAAACTCCACGTGGGCAGCCCGCCCAAGCGAGGCGCAAACCCACGACCGAACTCCCAGTGTTCAGGGAACGAAGACCGCTTGGCCACTGGTGGCGAACACTTTGAGAACCGCTGGTCTACTGTATACAAATTAATAAACCACCGTAAGTTATTAAAAAATAATATGTTTTTTAAATTCCACCCTTTAAAAAACCCTGCGCACGCAATGCCACCTGAACCATTGGACTGATAGGGCTGCAGGCCTAGGGTGCCAGCCGTCGCCACTTCACAAAGCATTTTTTTTATTTAATTTCCACAACAACACCTTATCTCACAGGACTTATTTATTGATTTAACAAATGTTTTCAACCTGTTCTACAGTCCATCTTCAAGTTTTTAAAAGCTATGGGACATTGATAACTGTTATTTTGAATAGAACAGTTAAGAACACATTTAAAATACAAAATTAACTGTTTTAAATTAATGTAGTTCGATGTAAGTTGCATCTGTCAAATTTGGGTTGAAAAATACCTTCCTGAAACTTGAGCCATTTCGGTACAAAATAATCGTTAAAACATTTAGTTGAAATGTGGCTGCCTATACATTCTAGTCATTTTTTTGCACGTATTGTGAAGTAAGATAAACATTACGTTCTTCCTTTAGCTAGAGCAATGTAAAGTTGTTTAGAAATCGTGATTTTGCCATTCATTTCATTTATTGCTTTAGTTGCTTCTTCAGGAGAGCTGAAACATCCTTCATGAGCATCCTTCATGATTTTAGCACTTGTGATGTTATCAAAAGACGAAAATTCTTTTCTGAGGCGTTCGTCATCGATGAAATCTTCTAACTTGTAAGTGTTTACGTATAATTAAAACACTCTGATAACGGCTCATTCGTTCCAATTTTAATCGTTCAAAATTCGTTTTATCTTTCTGGTCTTTTTCTGTTCTTTACCAACATAATGTTGTCTTCCACCAAGTTTTTAGCATTTAATTATTCTGTCGCTTTTTTTTTTTTTTTTTAGCATTATTTGACTCTTGACAATTAACTAATCCAAGACCTTTTGACTTGCCGCTTTTGTCCACTATCACGCTAGAATTAGTGATAGCATCATATTTCTCGAACATTTTTTCTCAGTTTATCATCATCTAGTTCACCAAAATTTTTTATGTAAACATTTGTGATTCGATGAGCTTTGTCTCCGAGCTGTTTCTCACGTTCTCTGCGAGGTGTGAATTTACCTGCATACACTATTCTACTATCGAACAGCATACAATTTACCTTAGGAATTGCGTTATTAGCTGCTTCTTCAGTTTCAATGTGCTCAAAACTGTAACCTTTTGAGTTACCCTCTTCTTCCGTAACCATTTTACACGATAAGATATTTCCAAAAACGGAAAAATTATTACACATCGCCTTATTATCGATACTTTTGTCTAAATTATTGATGAAAACATTTCCAACACCAGATTTCTTAAACAGTGGATCTGTCTGTAACCACTTATACGAATTGGTTTTCCTTTAGATCAAATTAGATCAAAGTTCACAGTTTCTAAGGCTCTTTCTTCATCTTTAGGGTTTTGAAAATTAACATAGGCATAACCCAAAGATCTTCCTGAAATCAGATCTCTATAGGCTCTGATGCAAAGAATTGGTCCTGCAGTAGAAAATTTTTCAAAAAGCATAGCTTCTGTTTCATCGGGATTCAAATTACTAACATATAGAGAATAAATGAAACAATTAGAGCTAATGGGGTTCATCTTCCTTCAATTGCTGAAACTTCGTATTTAGACATTCCAAGTCCTTGGAATATATTTAAATTTTCTCTTTTCGTTTCTACTTTTATTTTTTTAGAACACGATTTAATTAACAGTTTATATTCTAAAATTTAATTTTCTTTACGATATCCACGTGATGTCACGAATTAAAAAAAAAATAGATTCAAAGCTGCAAACCTTAATTTTCATATAATTTCAATATTTTCTCCTCTATTTAAAAGTGGGAAGAAATATTAACGGAAATGAAAACTTATTGCTACTTTGTTTTTTTATAACAAAATTCAATTTCTATAAATAAAATTTAAATTGAATTTCAGAAGAAACAATTTGAATATCAGACGTATTGAAAATCTTAACGTCAGTCCAGTGAGATGCTGTCGGAAGAAACTGCTGGCATTTTCGGGTGAAAACAAACGCTGATGGCCGAGGATATCAAGAAAGAAAAAGAAAAATGGCGAATGAAGTGGACTTCCAACGTTACGTTAAATTTATTTTTGAATTTATTTAATGGGAACAGCTAAATGAAAAATGAATATTTTGAAAAGAGAAAGAGTGGTGAAGATTTTTTAATTTCCATAGGAGTTATAAATATCTAAATCAATCCTAAGATTAGACTTTAACAACCTAAAACAAATTATGTGACGTCTTACTTAAACATATTAGTAAAACATTCTATTAATGTACTAACCTAATCTTAATTTATTCAGAATACATTCATCAACAAATAAATTCAAACTGTCAACGCAAAATCGAGTTCTTACGAGTCTCGTGGTGGCTGCCATAGTGTTTGCTGGTGTATCGAGCACCGAAAAAGGTGCTGGCAGCAACCGGAAGTTTCCTGAAATTTTGAACAGAGATGTTGGCAGGGAGCTGATAATTTGAATACGCCCATATTGTGGGGATGTCTGGGCAACAAACAGCGCTGGCTGGATGCGTTAGCTTACCGTTCTGGAGATCCGGGATTGAATTGGGCGAGTCCAAGAACCCCAGATTTTTTCGGGATGTGTTGACCCGCGTCTCATCATCCGAACATACTATTGTGTAAGTGGCCGAACCCACGATGGGCCCGAAAAATGTCCCTTTAAGTATCCACAAGGCGAAAAGAGAAAATCCAGCAAAAAGAAAAAAAATCCAGCAACGAGTTGCATAACTTTTCAGGCAATATTTCGTGGCGCCATCTGTTATCATATTTTATTTAAAAATTTTATATTTTTAACTGTTATATAATGGCAAAAAGCTTAATTTTGAGGGTAAGGATGGTTTTATAAGAAATTGTAAATGCTAATAACGATTAAAATCGTCATTAAGTTTGAACCTACTGGAGATATCCCCATTACCCTCCCCCTCGATCTTTAATCACCAAAGTTTAATGGTTTTAATCACCAACTTATTAGGAGATTGAAATCCCCTAATAAACACACCTCCCTGCAAAATTTCAAAAATTTTTCATACATACAGGAAAAAAAGGCCGAGTTTTTTTTTTTTTTTTTTTTGCTTTTCTCCACGTTTCAATGTGTCCTGAGACAAAAATGTAAAAATCTTGGGAGGGTCATTGTTTGACCGATCGCCATACTTTCCCTCTG